TTGTAAAACTGCATGAACTGGAGGACTTGACAAAACTGAGTTCAGGTCTCCTGTTGGTCGGCTCTTATCAAAGGCGTCTCTTAAGGCATCTGAGCCAGCATCCACCAGAAGCCTGCATAACCGGGCGTAATTAGTTGTCTCTTTTGTTGAATGGTATGACGGTGTTGCTACGGAGGCCATGAAGAAATCTTCCTGAATCATGATCAGAATGAAATGAATTACTTTTCCTGGATGGTATGCAAGAGTGTTACTAAACTGCGGATTAGCCTAATACGTACGAGGTGCGTCAGTGACTAACGTCAACCGAACGAATCAACGAATCCGTCAGCCTAATACGCACGAGGTACGTCTGTGAGTAACGCCAACCTGGAACGAATCCACGGGAAGCAAAACACTGCATACTTCGCTCTGGACGTCCCGATCAACCGGAAATACGGACGATGAAGTTACTTTACGCTCATGTTCCTCACTCGAGAGTCATTTACAGTTCTAATACAGTGAAATGGAATAAAAGGCCGCCAATCCCAGCCTAGAGGTTTGCTGAGAGCCTTCGGATGAGGCGTTGTTCGGATATTGTAGTACTCAAACCGTTAGAGCTTTCAAATTATAATTGAAACTACTTACGCTCGGGATTTATGTCCGGTGATTGCTCCTTACGACATAACATACCCTTATACGGTGAGTGTCACCACAATTAAGTCAGTTGTTTCCAGGTTTAATATAGTCTTTTTTATACCCGAAAACGATTATTCAAATAGTTTTAGGATCTTTCTTGTTTTAATTTTAATATTCATTGCTTCTCTTTTACAAAAAAAAGATGGGCTCCTCAGGTTTCGCAGCTTCCGGATGATCTGCAGTTTAGTAACACTCGACATATAAGCGGATCACGTTCTATATTTGAGCCTCTCTATGGGTATTTCCGAAGAAATCGAAGACGCAAAGATCACCGTAAAAAAAACGAAGATCTCAAGATTAAAGCGAAGATCTGAAAATTGACCAAAATTTGCGTGATCAAATCGAACACTTAGATACAAAACTGTCAATACTCGTAAACACTATAGAGAATATCTATTATTTCTGAATTTTGGCATTTGACCACATTTCACAGAAACCACATGATGCCATTACAAGGCTGAAACGACAAAAATAGTCCACTGTTAATGTATTCATTAATGATATTAATGACGTCATTGAAAAACGAAGATCTTCCTAAAAAAAAACGAAGATTCGCCAAAAAAATCCCGAAGAAAACGAAGACCGTGGGTACCCATAGAGAGGCTCATATTTCGAAATGGTGTCAGATTAATAGCATTCTTCCACTTTTGAATAAGTTACATCGAGTATAGTCTCAGTAAGTTAAAAATGAACCATTTGAATAACACAACCCGAAGGAGAATTGACAGATCAGTAATCAATGAGGGTACCAAAATAAAAGTGGATCCATGTTACGACATCGAGATTTCCCCTCTATTAATAATAAAGCACGTGACTAACAGGACAAATCATGATACCACTTGCACATCAAGTCATGATTTGTTTATGATAACAGCCGAGAAATTTTCGGTAACGCGAAAAACAAGCACGTGAAATCTTTATCTGCGTCAAAAAAAATTACCAGCTGTTCTCACCAGGAACTAATGTCAACTGTCAACTGATCAACCAAAGACAAATTTTACAGTTGCTGCAGTCTTTCAAAGATATGAACGTTGAACGTGTTGTTTTACTTCGCATCGCTGCCTATCGTACGACATTGCCTTAAGTCACGTTCCCAATGAATGAGTTGCCAGTAATCGGATCCTTCTGCCTTTTTTTTAAATTTTTTTGAAAATTTATTTTAAAAACTAAACTAGTGAGCAGCATTCTGCCAACAGTAGTTGTAAAACTTCTCTATTCTCCGACGCGTTTCGTTTAATTGTCGTAGGCTTCTTCGGGCAGTTTTACAAGTTTACGAGGGCCAGTGACCATATAGGCTTGGCCGGATCTACGAACAGGAACAGCCGAAGTTCTGAAAAATTTTTAAACTTTTTTTCGAAAAGGCGAGAAAAATATTTGGGGCCACGGTTTTAACCAAAACCGTACCGTAAAGATACCTATGGATTTCTCGGTTGTCTGTTCATGAGAATTGGATGGCATGTCAAGGCAACATTCCCAGAGCTATAGTGGTCTTAAATGACGTATCAGCTATACGGTGTACGTACTTAACTTATATGAAGACTTATCAGATGATCGCTTTTGTGAATAATAAGATTTCAAATAAATGAACAGGTCAGGTCACATTTCGATATTCTACCACAAAGCTGTGGCATATCTACTTAAAATGTATTTCAATTCAGCCGGATTTGATGGTCGAATTTCCCCGCTGCTCTGAATTTACCTAGCATGAAAGCTTCGAAGCTCTATTGAATATTTTCGATATATTAAACCAAATAATTACCGAAATTATCTTGTTGCGTATTTGAGCCGAGTTGAGGCCAACACGAGACAAGGGGGTGGAAGTCATGAACACAGAGCCATGCACTGCATGCTCCTCATGCGCAGAACTTTGAGACTTCCATGATCGAAAACAACTAGATACATCACAGTTACAAAGATTGGGCTAAAATAACTATGAGTACGTTTTTGTTTGTTCATTTTTCGATCTCCGATGTTATAAAAACTTAAGATTCTAGTAGTTTTTTTTTTAGTACTAGTGGTCGAGCCCATTAGACAAATGCGGTGATGATCGAACAGATCACATGGAGATTGCCGATTGCTATCAAACAACTTGCACAAATTGTTACTTTATGGAAAATATCTAACAAAGCCTCTGGAATCGAAAGCAAATAGGACTCTGCAAAATCAAACCATTATTCAAAAAAATGCAATTCTTACCTCGATGGCGCACGGCCAGACCACTCGATAACAGAGCGCTTTCGACCAAAGTTTTGACGCGGCTACACAATGTAATTCGCTTTTAGTCTGTCTTGGGACAGCTGGCAGTAACTACTTTCCTCAGGAACCCATTTAACCATACAACTTAGTCCTTTGGGTTTCTTACTTCGATTTGCGGTGATACAGATCAACTTATGTGAGCATATGTACAAGACAAATATCTTTCAGAGAAGGGACTTTCGCTTTTGAAATCCTGACCTTTCGACTTCGTTTACATTTCTGTCATTTATGCTTAATGACTCGACAGATGAAAAAAAAAATTAAGAGATAAATAAACGAAACAAAACACGTAAACCATAAATAGACAGAACGATTTGTTTCAACTTCAAGATTCAATTTTCAAGAGTGAGGCGCTGCTAAACAAGCCGAACACAAAATCTTTTAGAGGTGGCTCAGTGACTTTGAAGATTAAACTCAAGCTTCCTTAAATTTCGGTCATTTATTCCATACGACTCAGCAGGTCTAGAAAAAGAAGAGAAAAATTGCCAAAATGGATTGTTCCGAGATCACCATCTCAAGAGCAAGATGCCACTCACTACATAGTTCCACAGCGCATCCAAAATTATCGGAAAGAGTATCGAATTTTAGAAAATGTATTTATGGACCCGATAAAACTTTTCAGAGCTTACGAGGTAAACCCTTTCACGCCCAAGATCTGAAAATAAATTATCTTGAAAATTGTATGTATATCTCTGCTGGCTTTCATGAATATATGAGAAAGCTTTCTTCAATAGTCTATCAGAATTGCATGGAATTAATTATTATAAAATGCTTAAATGTTGCATTTGAAATTTATATTAGATAGTTATGTAGCTGTTTATGATACCTGATGAAATTTCCAATAAAAAATTGACAACATCGGTAACAAGGAGGAGGGCTTAAAATTTTGCGATTGAAGGTTTTATGAGTGAGCTTGCGAAAGACGAAATTCAAGAATTTAAGAATAGAAATGCTTTAAAATACGTAAGGTTTATCAACTGTGTTCATCTTCTTCATGACTGTGATGAGTTTGACATGTCATGACGTTATTCTTTTGCCGAACTACTCTCGTTATTATCATCAAAATTATTCCCAGGAAGAGCTCGGCACAACTGTGTTCTTTTCCTTATTGATTGCTGAGGGGTAAGTGAACGACAATTTAAGTTTTCATAAGATTTAAGATAATTGAGTCCAGTGTAAAATGAAAAAAGAGATGCCCAAGAAAGGATCTTTATTTCCTAAAGGTTACACGAGAAAGCTCTACATGAAACTTAAAGATAGGACCACATCGATCATTCAAGATTCCCATCCGAGTGGATGAGCTGCCCCCACTAACGCTCAACACGACACAACAACCACAATTTTTTATGTTATTATTTTCCTCAACTGACCATAGCACACTTAAAGGGTAGTAATGCAACTCTGCGCATTCTTGTCCTCAGAGCCCGCAATCTTCAACCCCAGCGCCGGAAATTGATCGACCCGCGCGTTATATTTGGGTACATGTAATGCATCTATAACTTGAACTCGCATATAATTCATTACATGCGGCCCTTGTAAAGATTGATCTATGCGCTTGCAAAAAAGAATGTGGGCTTTGGAGACAAGAATGGACCCCAAAAATACGATGTGGATCGATTCTAAACATGCATTCATATTGACAGTTAACAAGAGTCTCAGGTTTGAATACCATTTGGCATCCACCTTGGAATTAAATACGGATAGGTTAGGTAGCCATATTTCTCTCGCCTCTGATTGATTAGTTGCATTTTCGGTTGAAGAACTCTCATCAAAAAGCAATAGTAGTAGTTAACGAGCTTGGCCGCCTTAGGGTCCTCAAGTTCATTGCCGTAGTCAAACAAGGAATCGAAGCGGAATGTTGCCAGGGAATTAACAAAGCTGGCTTCGATCTGTAAATTAAAACGCAAAAAAAAAAGGAGGTCATGCAACGTCATATCAATACTTGGAACTACGCTAACACAATTGTTGTCATAGTAAAAAAAAGAAGTGAGCGAAGAAATAATTTAGTTAAGGATAATTGTTCCCAAAATACTCCCAATATCAACACTTGACAAACTAATCAAGTCCTGAACAGTGCGGAGAACGGAGGGGAGGAACGGATTCGTTGAAGTTCCCGACTATTGGCATTTACTGGATTTTCAATTTTGGCAAAGACATGTCCTTTTTCGAACTTGAAATTGGAACAAGGACTCTGATTATTGAATAGCGACCCTCTTTAATACGACGAAATTTTTGTTACGACCGAATTCAATCAATGCTGTTCATTCCTCAGTTAAAAATTGTAGAGGAAGCCGTAAACAAATTTCCTATGTTGTCGTCGTCATCGTCATTACGTCACAGATCTCTACAACATTTTGTCTGCTGTGGCATACCCCAGATTATAGTCAATTCAATTCCTGTTCCGATTCCAACTGACATCTGAAGATACAGCAAGGATCCAGAAACAAATCACGTTTTTTAAACTGACATTATTATTCAACCACGACGAAATTTCCCTATGATTAATTTCTCTCACATCCTCTCTCCCAATCCTTTGTAAAGCTTGAGCTAAAACTTACTGCCGAGGTAGCCCTGTTTGGCAAGCGGAAAACAGAAAATTCTCCATCAGCGACTCTGCTATCGTTATACAGTTTTGTTGGCAGATTGGGAACGAACGAAGCGTAGTCTGACATCTGGTAGTTGACAGCCGCGTGTGCAATCGTCAAGTGTGAGATGATGCGACTCACGATCTCGCAGAGCGCTTGTTTGGATTCAATAGTAGATGGTAAACCTTGAATCTGATGAATGAAACAAGTGCTGGTCATGAATAGCTGTGTTTCCAAAATTCAACAAACTTATTCAGCAATGCACAGTTAAGTCAGCATTGGAACGGCAACGCAGAATTAATGGAAGAATTAATGGAAGCCCAGGTGCAGCTATTGTTGCTTAATGCGCACGTTATTTCAGTAACACTCCGATAGTAAAGCGTGTGAATGTTTACAGCGGAGCTCGCAACGTGCGCAGCGTAACTCCATATCTATAATATTCATGTTTACCCGTCCAATTCCTCCATTGGGTCCAGTTCCATCTAGTGATACTTCATTGATGTAAGCCTGAAGTTCCTCATCTCCGGCCACGTCTTCGTCGTCCTTGTAATACCTAAAGAAGTTGCATAGTATTTCATTACCTCAATCATCCTCCAAAAAAGTGAATTGAGCAACGAGTTCCTCTATAGTCCCAATGATGCAGTTACAGAGAACTAATTGGCTAGTTAGGCCATGTTTCCCGACTATAAGTAACAATCACCCCGCAAATTACTAAGATTAGCAAAAAGCGAAAGTTTCAGTCACGAAAGTAAACTTGAATTAAAAGTGCAATAGTTGAATAAAGGTGAAAAAAACAGATTCTGTTTGAATCATCATTTCATATAATGTTTTAGCATAAATTTTATGATTTCACTTACAAGTCTACGTAACGTTCCACCATCCGTTCGATGACTGTTAGGATTCTCATACCATCATCACGATAAGGAAAGTAAGGCAGAAGGTTTCGGTTTGCAAGTCCTCGTTTCTTGTAAATGATGAGAATAGACAAAGTTCATAAGCCATTTCAAGCAAGGAAGACTCAAAAGTGCATATCGATATACATCAGACAGACAGACCAAAAGGGTGGCAGTCAGTCAGACAATTAGTCAGATGAATAGATAGACAAATATTCAGACAAATAAGCACACAGACTGACAGATAGACAGACAGACAGGCAGAGACAGTCGGACAAGTAGGAACACAGACAAGGAGATAAGCAGACAGACAGATAGACAGCCAGACATACAGACCGAAGGACAGAGAGAAAAGGAGAATTTTGTAATTTTTCGTAATTAGAATAAATATAAGTAGTAGGAAGCCTTTACCTTAATGTTCCCTCTGAAGTCTGTGACTTCCCAAGTCGAAAATTCATGGGCATCACGGAGAAGTCTATTAGCTCCGTCATTTCCGAAAGCAAAGAGAAGATCCATGAATCTAAACTCGTCAACCAACGCTGGGGTTCCGAACGTATTAGGGACAATTACTTCTCGACAGTGATACTTAAGCATTTGGTTCAGCGGATGAGCGGGTGGTAGGGTCCTTTTTAAGGAGATACAGAATGGTTCTATTAAAAAATGAACCTGAAATTCAAAATGCAGAACGAAAAAGTTAATACTTGCTTTTGAAGTCTTTCTTCCTGCTTATAAAAGCATATGAACCTCTGCATTGAAATATCTCGCTTCTCGATTTTATTCTCGCTTCTCGCACATTTGATTTACAGTCCCGGTATCCTTAGTCTCAGTATCTGGTTCCCGCTCATTTCTATCGCCGCCAAATAGCAAAGAAAGCGGAATCATAGGAAAACGTAATGAGTTACAGACGGAGATTACAATTTCTTAGTAATTCTATCAAAAGATAAGAGAAACTTACCTCTGAGCAAAGGATAATTTCTTACCTTAGCAAGGTGTTCGACGATTTGTGAATATCCCAGATCAGTGATTTGAACATTCAGTTTTGCAAGCATCCAGTTGTCCCCACTCTTAGGAGTGTAAACTGCTGAGTCTGACGGAGAGAATGTTTTACAGAGTGTATAATAATAATAATAATAATAATAATAACAATAAGAATAATGATGATAATATTTATTGCTTTTATTGCACATTTTAACATTAAAAATTATGTTCAAATGCGTACAACACTCGAATAAGACTAAAACTCGTCAAAATTCACCTATCACAGAATATATCAGTGTGTCAATGATTGGTAATGATAATAGAACTAAGTGGAGTCCAATTCGCTCTGTAATCATACTAGTGACTGACAAAATTAGACAACCGCGAGGCGGGAGTCCAATTTGTCAATCACGAGAATGATTAAGAATTGGACGACAAGAAGTCCAGTTACAAATTAATCATAACTGTTTCAACTTCCGAAAACAACAAATACATTTAGGTCAAATATCAGGTAGAGATAATTTTTAAAGTAAAAAAATTTCTCCATTATGGAAGTTCCTCGATTTTTTTTAGGATAAGCGGCTGTTGCTATGGTTATTGTGTTTAATTCTGTGATCGGTGGATTTTGCTGAGTGGTCTTAGTAAACAGGTGTCCGATTACAGCCAACTGTCCGACTACACTGTCTTATTACAGCTCAACAGAATGATTAGTGAAAAACAAAGCAGCTAATGCACAAATCACGTTTGAGGAAATTGTAATGGTTATGATTAATATGCGAATCTTATTATCCGTTATTCGGATGTACAAGGATGGTTGTCTCGGTCTAAAATGGTAAGACTTTATTCAGAAAGAGTTTTGCCTCCCTGAACAATAAACGAAGAAACTGCCCCAATTTTTGGTTTTATTTACGAAAATTGACAAGGTGTAAAAGAAAGTAAATCATCGATAGGTTTAGGTAATCAATCAAATATTCCTTGTCAAAATTTAGTATCTGCAAGTATAAAGTCAGGACATGTGTCTAACTCCATCTTACCTGGTGTATAGTCCATTTGTATGGCCACAGGAACGAGTTGATTTCTCCGACCAACCTTCCTCGATACGAACAAGGCAATAGGAGAGAGAAAGTTCCACATCTTCCTTTCTGGATTACGGTCTGTGAGATCCAGTGAACGAGGCATGTCATCACACAATTCGTAACGAAGAGCGAAGATGCGACCAAGTGCGATAGCCTGAAAATAAAATAGAAATTTGATTGACTCAACTGTTTTCATCGTGTGGAGATAAAGCTGTAGGATAATTTTCTAAGTGAAGATCCAGATATTTTCATTTTAAAATTAGCAACTGCGGGAACGCGAAAATAGCGAGATGAAAAAGTTTCGCGGAACAAGTTAAGATTGTTTCGTAACAAATTGTTAGTCTAAGAAGGATTTCCCCAAACCTGGCATTTCTAAACACCTAAGCTATTCTATTTCCGCAATCGTTGCGGAAATTTAATTTCGAAGATACTTCTTTGAAGGTTTTAAACGTTTTGGAACAAAAGCGTAGGGAAATATCGTAGATGCGTTTCGCATACAAAGGTCTTGCCTTGAGAAAGACGTTCTTATTCATTTGTCACAAGGTCTACCCGTAAGGATCGCCGAATCTCGGACCTTTGGACTCCGTGCGACGATGCTCTACCTCTGAGCTGCAGAGGCGAGCTTGTGGCTGAGCTAAGCCATTACTAGATTAGTTTCGCGAAAATCTGGTAGAATCAGCAACACGCGTGTGCATACATAGGGAAAGAAAGATGGCAATTTTTGCTTCCGGGCTTCGAACAAAGAAAGGTGTTATTCTTTTTTCACCAGCGGGGAAAAAGGCCTTTTCTCTCGGATAGGTAACTGAACGCTTTCGAGATGTATCCTCATAAAAATGAATCAAATTGTGAGCTTACTTTATTCAACGAATACTTCGACTTCGTAGCCTGTTTGACGGCACCATCCCAGTCAAACTCAGGGTTCAGCGTTTTTTTCAATTCATTCCAATCCAGTCCAACTGCTGATTCTGTTGAGGATGATAAAATTGGCAATTTGTATGGGGAGCAAAGAACTACCGTGACAGCATCAAGAGTTTACTTTAAGGAGTTCACGTGTTTGCGGAAAAATTCGACCCTGGATAAACGTGGTTTCCACAATACCCGTCTTTACCTAAAGAAGAAAAATGCCTTTATAATAATGTCTAGTGGCAGTGTATCCGTCATCGATTAAGTCTAGATCTAGCCGTCCTTGGAGAGATCCAATTGTGTGTGTCCAGTACCTACTTCTCCAATTCTCTTCTCCACCTTCCATCCCAGTGCCCACTCGATATATATTCGCTGTAGCATAGAGCAAGATGGAAATTACCCTACCTTCACCGTGAATGGTGACTTTTTTAAGTGACATAGGGTTAGCACCGGCCAAACGCTGCTGAGTGAAAAATTTGTCGCTTATCCATTCAGTTTTGTCTCGGATAAAAGCCTCGTGTCTGGACGGAAGCCTCACATACTCCTGAAAACATAATCAGCAACGTTACATGTCACAGAAAGTAAAGTTTGTATGACATTACTAAAGGGTGTAGAACACGTATATTCCATGTATATACTGGTTGAAGCTGGACTAGACCTAAATCCATCCTTGAAATGAGAGTTGAAAACTATTGAAAGGAAAGTAAAGGACGAGAGGGGGCACAAAGATATTTACAACAAATCAAGCCCATTTAAATTGAGATATGGGAATAATAAGTGATCTAAAGTTCAGGCGTAATCAAAAATTAGGGAAATTTCTCTAAGTTATACCATAGTCGTGGTAACCGTAATTTGCATGATCAAATTTAGGGGCTTTCTTAAATCATCAGTGATAGGTTAGAAAGGAATAAAAATGAAAATGCTAAGTTTACCCCAACAATTGGTTCCAGGCCCGTCTGGAAAAACTCTGATAGAGCTAGGTATTCCGAAATTTGGTTAATTTCGCCTAGTTCTGATGTCAAGTTTTGATACAATTGGTGAAGTGAGTTACTGGCTCTTGTCATTGTCACATATGCTGTGGTGTAGTATGCCATGAAAGGGTCCTTCAGAGCAACCGCTCCCAGTTCCTGCGCCGTCATATTCAACAGGGCGAACCCATGAACAGCTGGATCAAATTTGTATGTGTAGATCTCCTGGTTCTTGGCAATAGCAGCTTTCCTCAGTGACATACAGGCGGCCGAGTTGACATGCTGAGGAAGGGAGACTTCACAACGCGTTGCTGATGCATGTCTACAATTAAAAAATAATACCATTATTCCAAACAATTTGGTATAAATTCGATGGTCACCGTGCTCAAATATCTCAGGCCCTGTTATTTTCCCTCGAAATAATTTAATTTTCAGAGACACAGTCAGAAAGTGTCAGAAATTTTCAGTGTCAAAAACTTTTTAAGAACATCCCTAAGTGTTGGTCGGGTCTGGGACTTGAACCCTTCACTTCACTCACAGCAGTCCAGCGCTGTTTAAATATGACCTAGCTAAGCGTGTTCTTATACTAATCGTGCGTAAAATTATGTAGCGATTCGATAATTACATTTCGATATTGCGGGTGGAACACCTTAAATGGCTCAGTTGCTATCTTATCTCATGTAATCTTATCTCCTTATCTTAATATCGCAAGCAATATTATTAACAGCATGTTGTACGCCATTTTGAACGCGTCAAGCTCTCAAACTATTTCACCTGTTCAGATGTACAATATTAACATTGTTTTAAAAAGCCAATAAGCTAAATAAAACTTAATTGAAGACGACAAATAAATGTTATTTGCAAAACAAATTGAGAAAAGTGATGAAAAGAATATCCCTTTTGTGGATGAGCACGTAGAGAAGATTCCCAGCAAAATTTTGATAGTATAGCATCTGTGAGTTAGTTGAGGTCGTCATTTTAAAATTCTGGCTTATGACTCTTAAAAGTAAAATTTCGTGATAATGAAGAGAGGAAATGTTTGTTTTTGATCTTTTGGGATAAAGTAGACAGAAATATGAATAACTATTCTGTTTGGGTTAAAGGCAGTCGCCTCCTTAAGCCCCTGTCTGTTATTTACAAATTGCTCTAAAAATTTCCATTTAAAAGACGCCTCTTCCCTATTTCCCTTTAAAACGTAAGCCATGAATTGGAAAATTTACAAATGCGAACAATAGATATTGGTTCTTTGTATAATTTCACTTCATCTTTTTGTAGTTTTTTGCCACTTAGGAATTGATTATTCAAATATCCTATCAACCACTCTGCGACAAGTGTACAATGAATTTCTTGAACCGTGAAACGTAAGAGCCCCGTGATAAGGTCACGTTTAAAAAACACAAATACACCCATATTTGAGCGTAAGTAACCGATTCCAACCGGGAACAAAATTGAAATTTATCATCTATAGGCTGGAATTTAGCGTTTAGAAGCCTCGACTACTGCTATTGTACCACTAACTTTCCGATTCGCTTCAACGCCGACTAATATTCTGCCTTTTGAAGATTTCAAGAGAACAAATAGAAAACAAAAATCAAACTAACACTGCATTCAACATCTTTTCCATTCACTTCAAACTTTCCGTGATGCTATGACCAACACACAAAATGTTTGTACGAAAACGTTTGCTTTGAATGACGAATGATGTTGGCTTACCAGCAAGTAGGAAAACACTTGAACTTGTCATTTCGAGCGTTCCTGGAATCTCTTTCTATTCAGTAACCAGTTCGAAATACCGTTAGGCTATAAAATTTCACTTTCTTGTAGTTAAGCAAAGTCGGTATAATTTCCGCACAGCCCTGTAATAAATATGTTTTCCCAATGGCAATGTATTGTTTTTGCTATTGTTAAAATATTAGCGCAAAGTCTCCAGGTCAGTAATACAGGAGAGCTCTGCAGGTTTAACGGAAAGAGGACTGGAATTTTTCCTTCTGGAAACGAAAACGCAAAGAAATCTTATATTACACTATCGAATGTTGCGAGGTCACCCATAATTTCTAAAATAGTTATAACAGCGTGCTTTGAGCTGAACGCGTGTTTCAAATTTTTTTTATTATTAAAGGTTAAACTAAAATATGAATAATTTTCATGATAAAATTTTTGGGAAAAAAAAACAGAAAGGACAAACCACTAAAAACATAACTCCGACATACAGAAAGCGCGTGGGACATCTTTGAAACTACAATGGCTTCGTTAGTCTAACTCTCAGTTTAAATTAAGTGCTGTGCACAGCATTAAACACTACCCTCAGAATACCGCAAAGAGGAAGATATTTCCATACCTTGAACTAGTAATAAAGCCCCAAATAAATGTGACCAGGAAGGCCAAGAAATTCATCTCAGCGTTTCAAAAAGAGAGCTCTTCTATTGGTACAGTATGAGCAGTTTGCTTCAGGGCGTTTACTAAATAGTGTTGTTAAGTTTATGGCGTCCTTTATATAGGTGTTTTGTGCTTTGTGTGTCTTTAATTATTCAAATAGATAACAAAAGACTGGCCGAAAATTTTGATTGTCGGACAAATATACAATATGCGCAAGAATTCGCTATCATATTCATTCTGTTTGATCGGAAATAAGCGTCATTAAGGATTTTATCAGACTAACGTATATTCGAGTGGGATATATGCATATTAAAAGCACGTCGCCATCATTCAAGTTGAAGTTATTTGAAAAACCTTTGTCTGCACATGGTTCGTTCACTGTGCGTCGAGGTGCAGGGTTAGTTTTCTATTTGACTGCACGTCGATGTTTCGAAAAGCGTTGTATTGTCAAAAACATAGCTGATTGCTCAATTGCAAATAAGTGTACTTGATATCAGTCACAAAGGGAAAAAGACAAGCGAAGGTTTAAGAACGTGACCGGAAAAACGCATATGTGGCTTGTCTTCATAGGTTTGTACGAGTTTTGAACGTGATGCTGGCATCCATAGGCAACGTTAAAATATATTAGAGAACTCATCCTACTCGACCTCCTAACATTGCTTACTACTCGCAAACCAATATTGTCTTCAAATTGTATCAAAATTCTAATCGATGGCAGTTGATTTGATTGGTTGTCAATAGCTAGTTCTGGAATTCCGTTTGAATATCGCTCAAAAGAGCCTGTGCGATTGCAGAAGGGAACAAATTGAGTTTGACGTGTTTTTCTAAAACTCCAATTCTCTCAATCACCCTTTGGATGCTCATTACTTCAAAACTTAGAGAGGCGTTTCCTCCTGCAAAAATTTAACGATCTAATCTGACATAGCAATCCTTGCGTATCGATAACGAAATAAAATTGCTTTATACTAATAAGGAGAAATAAACAATATTTACCATATTTTTTAACCTTTGTTTCATAACTGCTCTCAATAAGACGCAACGATTTAGTTATCCTGTTCAGAAAAAAAGCGGTGTTCGCAAATCAGCGGCTGCGCGAAGAAAACTTCAGAATAGCCATTTCCCTTACAACAGCAAGCGCGGTGTTGGCCAGTCAGCCGTTTCAAGCTTGCCCGCTTTTTCGCTCGTCTCTGCCAAATGATAGCCTGACACTGGCTATTTTTTTTTCTTACTTAAAAGAGACCTTTCAAGCCGTATGAAGCAAACGGAGGGCCATTTGAGACTCTAAACGACATGGGCGATAAGAATTGGAGTATATTTCATAAGGTAGGTGAACTTCTAAACAGACTGGTAACGCTGCGTCGGTACGGAGTATAATGATACAATTTGGTTTTATCAACTGAGTTGAGGATGGATATAAGCCTCTGCATAGAGTTTCTTAAGCTGACGTTTCGAGTGTTAGCCCTTCGTCAGAGCGAAGGTCCATATAAATCCCCTCTAAAGTTCATGTGGATTTCAGGTAAAAGACTATAAATTAACAATTGGTTCATACGTCAGCGTGCGTTCATCGAGATATGAAGCACGCGGGAAGTTTGGAGTGCACGAAAGACGCGTAGGAGTTGCTCGAGGCGTAGCCGAGAGCAACTCTAGCTTCTTGGAAAATGAGAATTTGTTCATGCTTAGCGTGCGTATATCGAGTTCTGGATGCACGCGGGAAGTTTGGAGAGCACGGAGAATGCGTGAGAGTAGCTCGATGCGCATCCGAGAGCAACTCTAACATTTTGAGTGCACTCCAAACTTCCCGCGTGCATCCATAACTCGATAGACACACAGCTAAAAGCATGAGCAAATTCTTTTATAACAGAGCGACAACAAGGATCTGCGCGAAGAAGCCTTTTATTTTGCCGGATAGAGTGCAAAATTCTCACAACGCACAAAAAAAGGAAACAAACGTCCCTGTTGGCTGGTCAAAAACATGCCACAATTTATAATTTCGTTTGAGCGAGAACATTGAATCTAGTTAACCAATAACTGTGAATGAAAAGCTCAAAATTTATGGGGAAAATGGAGAAAATCAAAGCTAAATGAACTCAAGTGTCACTGAAAAATGTTTTAAAAGTCAAAGACCCGAAGTTATCAAGGGTTTTGATTGTTCAAAATAATGTTTACGCTGCCGTGCACGGTGCAATTCGAGAAGACAGACAAACTTGCAAAAAAATGCTCACGTCATCTTATTTACGCACGGGCGTGCGTGTGGCTGAGAAAATGGTGCGATTCGTGAGCCAATCAGAGTACAGGGACCACCAGTGATTTCAAAATGGGTGTAATAAATTTGTCTAATCAAACATAGTTTGACGCTACTCTGGTTTGCAGATTTAATGAATGTAACCGAAGAAGTTACGATTCATAGACCCAACGTTTCGACACTCCTGTCTAGTGCCTTCATCAGGGGTGATCTAAACGCTGCAACAAGAGGTCCTTTTATATGATCACTAATTAGCGGCCTTTTTTCTGACGAGGTGTAAATAGGCGTCAGGAAGCAAACCGCCATCGTCACGATTTAAAGGAGCGTGGGCGGAGTTAATATCCGTTAAGGTTGCGGAGGAAAGACTCAGAGAAGATGTTTCCCTGGGACAAAGAACTTCTTTGCCTGTGGAGGATATTATTCCCTCTGGACACATTTAAAAATCTGCAAACCAGAGTAGCGTCAAACTATGTACTGATTGTCCACCTGGTTGCCGTGTGAACTTTAATATATTGTCTAATCAAATTCAATTGCGCGAGCGTGCTTCACACTTCTATTGTGCACACTCATGACGTCAGCAAACAAATCCCTCGAGGGAAAAAAAATTCCATCGGGTTGAAAATGTTATAAAACAATTGGTTCATACATCTTCTCTGAGTCTTTTATAAGGATAGATATGAAGTACGCAGGAAGTTTGGAGAGCACGAAAGATGCGTAAGCTCTTACGCATCTTTCGTGCTCTCCAAACTTCCCACGTGCTTCATATCTCGAGGAACGCACGCTGACGTATGAACCAATTGTTAATTGTCGCTGAGAATCTTTCGACTCCATACAGATCCCCCCCCCCCCCTCCTCCCCGGCCTTCGCTTAATAAAAAATTAATAAAAGAATGGATAAATAGGTAAAATAAATACAAAATGAATATTTCTAACTCACTTCAAAGTTGGAATCAAGCATCCAAGGAATGAAACCACGATAATCAGAATTTTCATCTTTGATTCTGCGGAAGACAATTAATGCAGGGTAAAATGAGTGAGAGAAACAAGGTTTACTCCTATCAAATTACGCATAAGTATATATTGTTACCACTGGTCGGCGGTGAGCCACTGGTCTGCGGTATTATCGATAAAAGCACGTCATTATTTTAAGAAAGCTTGGCGAATATTGAAAAAGCTGTGTGATTGAACGGTTTTATTAATAAAATTAGCAATGATACGTTTTGGCAAGATTTCGTCACCAGGGGAAACGTCATTAATTATAGAAAGGTACAAGTAGTCATTGATAAACGTGCAGTTGTTACAGCACACGAAAGATTCTCGAGTGAGAGTTGTCTAATGACATCTAGACTAAGACTTAACCTTCGCTAATGGCCTATGTGTTTCAACCCTCTAAGTCTACTTTATTGTAAAGCGGCCGAGATGTACGAGATAATTTCCCTTTTCATTAGTAAACCGGTCTCGAGTTTGAATCAGCATACGTGTCTGTGAACATACAGGAGAGTTCCTATTAAAGAATTTAAAAGGGTATACTCACCGGAAGAAAATAGCCAGTGATTCTATATAATAGCCACATAAATACCGCTTTTATTGAGACCGGAATCATCAGCGAGTCACTTTACGGCAATGTGCCTTTTGTATCGAAAATTGCAGACTTTTTGTTAAACACGTTTAGCATATATAATCTCTTCCCTTGGTGTTTCAACGTGGCACTGAAAAACAGCTCATGTTTGTTAATCGATCAATATTTGCCTATGCCTTCAAGACTTTCAAAACAAGCTATGAATTTGCCGCGATTCCTCTGAGCCACATAAATACCGCTTTTATTGAGACCGGAATCATCAGCGAGAGTCACTTTACGGCAATGTGCCTTTTGTATCGAAAATTGCAGACCTTTTGTTAAACACGTTTAGCATATATAATCTCTTCCCTTGGTGTTTCAACGTGGCACTGAAAAACAGCTCATGTTTGTTAACCGATCAATATTTGCCTATGCCTTCAAGACTTTCAAAACAAGCTATGAATTTGCCGCGATTCCTCTGAGCCATAATTCAGTGATAAGTCTTCGCGTTATGTTATTATTTTTGTTTTGTTGCAAAATTAGCTTACTACTCGCCGAAAATGGTCAAAATCTGGTGAGCGCCTAGCCTCGAATAAGTGCTCACCCTCGAGGTCCATAAATTTAATTCGTACTTAACAGAATAATTACGGTATTCAACGTTGATAACTCAACCCAGTCCTGTTTACTTTGCAGTATACTTTTCTCTTAAAGGAACACTCTAACCTGAGAGAAACTAAAGATTCCTCTTTGTTTCTTCATTCCTCGCGAATGTTTTCAGATTCATTGAAATTGATTTTTAGTCCAGCGAGACATTTGTTGGTGGAGGATGAACAAAGCCGCGACATTGACTTTCTCTCACTGGCCTTAATCCATACTCAATGTTTCTCGTTCTAAGCCGCAACATTCAGACTCAAACAACTGATATGCTCTCAATTATCCATAAGTACTCCGTATAAATATGGAATACTACAATAGAGCTGATAGGATTTTTCATGATATTAACATTGTTAATCGCGAACAACTTACTTCACTAGCGTTTTGCGTCAGACCTCTTTGGTACGGAGAAAATCCTATTCTGTACAGATATAATTCAGTCAGGTTGAAAATATCAGATATCAGTCACATGCACTTAACGTACACAGGGGCACAGTTATGATATGGAGCTCGTTCACCTGAAGAAATATCCCTTTTAAAGGAAATGATGATTATCATATACACGTTTTTGGCTGTTTGCTCTTATGTTCCGGTGACAACCAGCTGTAACAACTAAAGATAGGAATTCTTTTTTCATCGTAATGGATCTCCAGAGCGAGCATCGAAAAGTAGTATTTTCAATAAGCAAAAGCACGTGGTAACTCATTAAGCCGAGATAATTTGGTGATTGTGTTGGTCGTTCCTTTCAAAATTATGAAAAGACGTACTTGAAGATTTTTGCCACATACAGTACGTGGCAGTCCTTTCCCAAAGAAATAACCTTCCCTTCCTCACTTTTAGACATAAGGTATCTTTCCTCTTTGAAAAAGTATTTTATCTCTTTTCTTGAATGATGTCTGATGGAAGTCAAATTCACACCTTGTGTGATTTCCACTTAAGCAAGCAAACAACTTGTTCGCGACACAGCGTCAGTTAATTAGTCCTGTTTGTCTTTAGCAGGTCAAAGTGTAGTTTTCGGCCTCACTGAACTGCGATAAGATTTCTGCACGAGAATGATCAAACCGCTAAAAATTTGCCTCTTTTTGAAGATTTTGACTCATAACTCAGTTGTACGATAGTAGAGCTTAACTAGAGGTTCGAAATCAGTTGAAGCATGAAATATTTCTCTGCTACATCTCTGTAATTTCAGCTCGCCTGCGAAAATAATATCTCACCTATTTATTACCCATATGTCAGAATAGAAGTCCTTCCTTGACGAATCTCTGAAGAAAATTTATTGAAAAAAAACTTGCGAGTTTAAATATCTGAGCAATTTTTTATTTTGTGTACGTGTATTGTTTTAGTTTTCTGGATTCAGTGGCTTGAAAGTTTCGGTAACGTCAACGATCTTATAGTCCACTTGCCCTAACCTGCTCATTCATATTATTTCTGACCGACGCGCGATCCCGCTACGTCTGATTTTCAAGATAGAAATGCCACTGGTATAGCTCAACAATCCAACTATAGGCATTGGAAAGAATTTATTTTTGATGCAAACACTGAGAAACTTAGTTCTCACGAAAAAACGAGTATTGGCCTCTTCTCTGTGAGCTCGAACAAATGTAAACACTTTAGAGTGATTGACGCTTCCAGAACTGGATCTTTTTCGAATGATCTATTAGTTTCCATAACTGCTGACAATCATGCAAGGTCGCCACTAACGTTAATGGAGTTGGGACCAGTGATCCGTGAACAGATTCCTGAATGTTTGCCTGCATATTTCTAACAAATAATCAACTGGAAATAAATGGATTACAACTCGCAAATGTTTCAAGCACAACAAGTTGCCTTGGCTCTATGGGCTCGATCAGTTTGATTGGCCTTTGAAAATTTACTTGAGCTGATTTATTCCAAACTTTAGTCAAAATCATATTATACATACAGATTACATGGTATAGCTACTCGGTCAAAACTTATTAACAATTTAAAACCCTGAAATTAGAGAACAAATTCAAATCACATTTGAGAATTTAAAGCCTCATGAAAGGCAAAACAAAGAAGATACATTTAAGGATAAAGACCCCGCGAAAATTACATCATGCGCAAGACCCGGGCGTCCAAATAAAAACTTTACATTTAGTTGTAGATATACATAGATATATGTGTATGTATGTCAAGGCCCACACCAAATAAAAACTTTAAATTTAGTTGTAGACATACATATATATGTATGTATGTATGTATGTCAAGGCCCACACCAGAGGCTTCTCTTTCTGTTTTTCTTCGTTTCTGAGGCTGCTGGTTCTTCCTTCTATACAGTCGAATCAAAGCATCAACACCAAATTGGATGTTACGATTAGGTGATTTACTTCAAAGATGAAGTTTTTCTCGCCCGCGAGGAGAGCGAGAGAGAGAGAGAGAGAGAGAGAGAGAGAGAGAGAGAGAGAGAGAAAGCCATCTCCCCATTTTTTCCCTGTGGGCGAGTTCTTAGCGTTCTCTTCTTGTACCTGCTTGATTGGTTACTCGTAATTGTTTTTTATGATTTGTTGAAATCTCAAGCAGTAGTGGAAAGATATGAAACAATTGCAATCTCTATCGAGTCAACTTGTGTTTTGCGTTTATTCAGCGTAAACGGAATTGCAGTTAGAAAAGAATTGTGAGAGCTCTACGATCGTCTCACAACGATAAATGATCTTTAATTGAATAGACGGAACTAAACAGCCCTTAAACGCGTTCCAATCATTGCCCGATCTTTCTGAAAAATATTTAGATGACAATTGTTAGTCTTACCCAAATAACTGGCGCCCATTGCATATATTTGATTGAAGAGCGTCCACTGATCCTTTATGTCCGGCCAAGTTTTGATCTGTCCACACGACGTTTTTTTTTTTCCGTCCCTCTCAAATGCAGATTGCAGAGAAAAAGATTATTAATAACTGCGACGCAAGTAAGAAGTCAAAGGTTCTTCATCTGTACCCAAGACGGTTTGTCTCGTACAACCAGACTGAATTGTGATTAAAAAATGTTAGGAGGTCTTTGTGTGAGAGGTGGTTCATTGATTTGACGCAAGTGCGTGAAAAAAAACCTGTCCTCTCGCGCGCGGGTCACTCACACTCTAACCAAACTTCTATTCGACCCGAAGGTAATTTTCTAGAGTTATGCGCGACTCAGACCACTCACTGGAAGGGTTCACAAGATAACAAAGCATTTCTGAGAGGGTGTCGAGTTTTCCACAAATAGTACGGTTTGCCTCACGCGGCTTTTGTGGAGACGATTTTCAAGAGAGGAAACAGTTTCTCAAAGCGAAGATAAATGGCAAAAAGAAAACGGTGACTGATTAGAAAGAGTTATAGAGAAACACGAAGGGGACTTTTGCAGCAAGAGGCACCAAGACTTTTTTATTGATTTCTCCTTCAATTGTTTCTTCTCCAGCCTCTAGAAAACTCGACAACTTTCTCTTACGACTACTACCAGTACAATTAATCACTCTAACACACCTCCGCCTCAAGTACTCCATTAGTGAACATGTTTTTGTTATGGGCCGGTTGGTCTTGGGGAATTGAAACTCTTGATAAACTTGCTAACCCAAATAATTTTACAAGAATTATAGAAATAACCTGTAAAGCACGCACTGATTTAAACAAATAAAGGCCAATCATCGAAGACGACAACCAAAGCGACAAACAAAATTCTTTTGTTTGTACAGCCGACCGAGGCTGCGAGACAAACCCAATCAGGAACACTTTGTCAAACAATGACAAAGTGAAAAAAGACAATAGCAAGGTGTTCGGTTCCGCGAACTTAGGAATCAACTAAACTATTCAAAGTTTCAGACTGATGGACATAACAGAATATGTTAATCAAACAAATATTTAGTTTGCTCGCAT